ACCAAAAAGAAACATAAAAATAATGTGAGAAAAAGAATCAATCTTTATATAGAGGATCACCTAATATAATAGAGTCATTTTCAACTGAAAAATTGTCAAAGTAAACTTTCAAATGATGTCTAATTACATTGAAAACATTATCATTCTTTGCATTCTCGATATCATAGGCCCCATATGGATACACATGTTTCACAATAAAAGGACTACTCCATCTTGATCTTAGTTTTCCATGAAATAAATGGAGTCGAGAATAATAACGCAAGACTTTTTGACCAACATTGAATGCTTTTCTCAGTATTTTCTTATCATAAAACTCTTTGATTCTTGCTTTATGAATTCTTGAATTTTCATATGCATCATTTCTTATTTCCTCAAGCTCATTTATTTGTAGCTTTTGCAGCTGACTAGCATCATCAAGATTTGAATTGAAAGCTTTAATAGCCCAATAAGCTTTATGTTCAAGTTCCACAGGTAAGTGGCAAGGTTTTCCATAGACTAGTCTATAAGAAGACATACCTAATGATGTTTTATAAGCAGCTCGATAAGCCCAAAGTGCATCATTAAGTCTTAAATACCAATCTTTCCTATTATGGTTCACCGTTTTCTCCAAGATTTGTTTGATCTCCCTATTAGCAAGCTCTACTTGTCTACTTGTCTGAGGGTGATAAGGGGTGGCAACTTTATGTGTGATTCCATATGTCTTCATTAAAGACTAAAATGACTTGTTGTAGAAATGTGTTCCACCATCACTTATCATGGCTCGAGAGATTCTAAATTGACTCAAAATATTTTCTTTCAAAATCTTTATCACTATTTTATGATCATTGTTTCAACTTGGAATTGCCTTGATCCATTTTGAAACATAATTTATTGCGAGTAATATGTATAAGAAACCAAATGATGGAGGAAATGGACCCATCAAATCTATACCCCAAAAGTCAAAGATCTCAATGACAAGAATAGGATTTAAAGGCATCATGTGACGTTTTGAAATAGATCCTAACTTTTGACAATTTTCACAAGTCTTGCACAATATATGCGAGTCCTTCAACATGGTGGGCCAATAAAATACACTTTGTAAGATTTTTGCAGTTGTCTTTCATGATGAGAAATGACCCCCACATGCCTTAGAATGACAAAATTTAATGCCACTACTTATCTCATTATTAGGAATGCATCTTCGAAATATTTGATCAAGACAATATTTGAATAGATAAAGGTCATCCCAATAAAATTTCTTCACTTCGTTCAAGAATTTTCTTTTGTCTTGGGTACTCCAATGAGTTGGCAAATATCCTGAAACAAGAAAGTTAACAATATTAGCAAACCAAGGCATTGTAGAGACAAAAGGTAAAGATCCATCAGGAAAGTAGTCATCAATTGGTATGATGTTGAATCTCGAATCTGTTGTCAATCTTGACACATGATCTGCAATAATATTTTTGGTGCTTTTCTTATTTTTTTTATTATGATATCAAATTATTTAAGTAACAGAATCCATCATACTAGTCTAGCCTTAGAATTTTTTTTTGAAAAAAAGATATTTCAAAGCTGCATGATCACTAAAAACGATAATAGGTAAGCCAACAAGATAAGATCTGAACTTGTCACATGCAAATATTATTGCAAGTAATTCTTTTTCAGTGGTAGTGTAATTCATTTGAGCACTATTTAAAGTTTTACTTGCATAGTAAATCTCATAAGGTTTCTTATCTTTTATTTCTCCTAAGACAACGCCTATGACATAATCACTAGCATCACACATTATTTCAAAAGGTAATGACCAATCAGGAGGTTGAATAACTGGAGCAGAAGTAAGCAAACTTTTAAGTTTAACAAAGGCTTTTCATATTGTTCAATCCATTCAAAAACATTTTCCTTTGTTATAGGGTTACATTAATGGTTTAGATATTACACTAAAATCTTTGATGAACCTTCTGTAAAACTAGCATGTCCTAAGAATGATCTAGCATCTTTAGTAGATTTTGGTGTTGGCAAGTTAGCAATGAACTCGATTTTAGATTTGTCAACCTCAATTCCTTTCGATGAAACAATGTGACCAAGTATAGTGTCGTTTGTTACCATAAAATGATATTTTCTCATTTCAGTACAAGATTCTACTCTTTACACCTACTCAAAACTTTTTCTAAGTTAGTCAAACAGTCATCAAATGAATTGCCAAAAACAAAAAAATCATCCATAAAAATTTCAAGAAAACATTTAACCATATCACTAAATATATTGAGCGTGCATTTTTGAAATATGGCTGGTGCATTACATAATACAAAAGGCATTCTTTGATATGCAAAAGTACCAAACAGACATGTGAACGTGGTTTTCTCTTGATCTTCAAATGCAATTTCAATTTGACTGTAACCTAAATAGCCACCAAGGAAACAATAAAATTCATGATTTGCAACTTTTTTTAGGATTTGATCCATGAAAGGTGAAGTGAAATGATATTTTCTAGTTATTGAATTAAGTTTCCTATAGTCAATAAACATGCGTCAACTAGTAATAGTACTAGTTGGAATTAACTTATTTTTCTCATTTTTTTTTATCATAGTGACTCCAGATTTCTTGGGTACGACTTGGGTAAGACTTACCTATTTAATATTAGACATATGATAAATAATTTCATTATCTAGAAGCTTAATGATTTTATTTTTCAATACTTCTTTCATATTAGGATTAAGCCTTCATTGCATTTCTCTAAAGGGTTTAGCATTTTCCTCTAAATAAATTTTATGTGCGCAAATCAAAGGACCAATCCCTTTTATATTAGCTATGATCCATCCTAATGCATTTTTGTGTAGTTTTAGAGTTTGTAATAACTTACCTTCTTGATGTGCATTGAGTTTGGAAGAGATTATTATCGGAAAAGTTTCATTTTCTCCTAAAAATGAATATTTGAGATTGAATGGTAATGGCTTCAAATTAGGTTTTGGTGGTTGAATACTTGAAGGTATAGACTCAATTGATCGTGGTGGCAATTCTTCAATTTATGGTCACTAATTACTTGCCTTTGATTCTTCCTAAAAAGAGACCATTTGCAAATCGTCGGATTCATCAATCTCAATTTTAATGGATGTGGTTTAAAATTGATCATGAACTAATTTTTCCATAAAATCCACTTCCAACCATCATCATCTCTAGGTTGCTTGTAAATGTTAAAAATATTCATCTCTAATGTCGTGTTTCCAAATGATAGCTTAGCCGAAGCTAATCTTATAAATACACTAGACTTTATTTAAATTTAACACGATATTTATTATAATTCCATTCATCAGAAGAATTTTAAATTGTAAAAGTACAAATAGAAGGGAAAATCACACACTTGCTCCGCCTATCTCATGACCTCCCCTAATAGAAGATCTAATCCTGGTTATTTCTTCTGAATCACAAGGAAAGTTTTGGTTATGATTCCTTCAAGCCAATATTATAGAGAATTCATATTCATTCATTACTCATATGTTACTTTTTATGCTTGTTCATTTCCTCATAATAACAAATATACATATATTAGGTACATTTTCAAAGTTAGTATCTCAATGTGCAACTGTTTGTATAACTTAATTCTTTTATATTCTTACATATAATATTCATGTGAAAGTCTACTGTTACTATTTAACTTTGAACTATTATTGTCCAATTGTTACTATCTAGACATTGAACTATTATTATCCAACTGTTACTGTCCAACCATTGTTGTTTGAACTATTACTGTCCAATGGTTACTGTTTGAACTATTACTATCCAACCGTTGCTCTCTGAACACTCATTAGATTTTTAACTATATCTAGAGTTCTAGAACTCCATTTTAAGTAAGATTGACCTCGTTGGAAAGCTACGACATGAGGCTACAAGTTCTCTAAGGAAGGAGAACCTTGTTCTGCCTCCAAGATAGTCAAAATTGCTCATCAACCCATTAGTCCTACTACCCTACAGAATCAGTCACAACTTAGTCTCGGTTGGTAACCCATAACTGGAGTTCTATATCTCTAAATTGAGCAAGACCAATTTCCTTGGTTAGCTAACATCGAAATCTATAATTTCTATATAGGAACCCAATCCTAATTCCCTCATCCTCCTACCTGAAAACTCATTGAAATTCAAGAGACAAGTTTATCCAGATTTATCTTCCTCTTCCCTTCACACAATACTTTCATAAACTACATACCACACATGAATTAACTTAATTTTAATAATAAGGACTTTTTCCCAATTCATGTCTAAGAACCCTAACCTATAATTTAATATCAAGAATCAATTCATTATTGAATTTGAAATGAATTTTTAAGATCATGTTTAGAACTCCTTACTCAATACGAATTAAGATTTGATCTTCAACTAGTTGAAGATTTTCAAATCCCTCCTTTCTTTTCTTCTTATTCAATTTCTTGTTAATCCCTTGCTCACAAGTGTCTATCCCATCTATAAATCTTAATCTTGGATAGGTTCTTGAAATTTTAGTGTTTTTCTCTTGAGTGTTCAAGAATTGGTATGAAACTCCCTATTTTCTCTCCTTATGGTTCCTGTAGATTTTTGATGAAAAGAGAGTATTTATACACTATAATTTCCCTTATTGCATTTAGGCCCCAATTCCTTTATGTGTATTATTCTCTTTAATTAAATCCAACCCTCAACATTATCGGGTTTATTATAATGTCTCGAATTATTTTTTGTAGAAATTATATTCAAATTTTTTTGAATTCCTATCTTTTATTCAACCATATGCATGAATTTCTTCATTTTAATTTCTCATGTAGTTAGTTTTCAATTTAAACAACCTTTATTTATATTTTTTTGGGGTTTACAAAAATCCTTCATAAAAGGTTGTTTAAACAAACAAAGCCTTAAGTACTTAACGTAAAACAAAACCAAACGGGTCGACCTAAAGACGCTAGTTTAACCATGAACTGAACCAAAAAACAAGGTTTGACAAAATCCTTTCAAATGACAAACACATGAGAACTACCACCTTATGTGCTCTTCACATTTCCTGTAATGACAAATGTCTTCATTTAATTTGTAGGTGTGTTTCACAGTTTACGAGCAACTTAAAGGCATCCTTTCAAATGGTTGGTTTTTCTAAGAGTTTCTTACTTGAAAATTATGTGTTGGTCTTCTTTTGAGTTCACATGAGAAACCTTGTTCTATTAATATTCTCTCTGAGATTGAAGAATGTCAAGTACTATTCTTATTTTGATTTGTTCTAAAATCTTATGTTCTCATATTGTAGGGGATGGGGATAGCCAGCTCTCAGTTGGTGCAAACATGGTAGCTGCTGCTGGTTCTGGGGCTGCCACATCCATTGTTACAAATCCATTGTGGGTTGTGAAAACCAGACTCCAGGTAAGTCAGCATGGTTATGAATCTGATTTCCTCTCAATATGTATATTTGTTAAGATCACAATGGTTCTATCACATGTCAACTATAATTGCTACCTGCTAAATTGTTGAAGGCTTCTATCAAAACTTCACTGTAGTATTTGATTTGACAAACGTATATGCACATGTTTTTATTGGAATGGACTTTCTAGTTGCGCTTGGTTTAAGCTACTGCCTTGCCAGAGTTCATAGCTGAATTGGGACAACCATGTCGCTATATATTTTAGTCGCACAGAAGTATCTAAACCAGGTCATAACTGAAGAGTGGGTGGAGTTCTGAGGATCAAACTCCTCATCAATTCTAGCAGGATTCTTGACCCAAGCAAGCATACTGATTAGTACTTAAAAGTGCATTCTCATTAAGGATTTATGTCATCATATTGCACCTAAAGTATCATTAAATTCCCTAACAAAAGCATGTTTTATATTAGCAAGTCTAAAAATATAATATACCTTTAATTCATGGTAAATGTTCATCCTAAATGCAGGTCTATCACATAAATAAAAGGATTGATTGATGAGTTTAAGGATTGAAATTGAAAGGATAAAAAGAAGGCCAAACTTAGCAAAGTGTTGCTGGTGCATTCCAAACTCGAACATCATTCAGTAATTTGATCATATCTGGAGCTGTAGATATTAGATTTAGGTCCATTTTATATCGATGGAAAGGTAAGACATAGACCTACAACTTTCATATGAAGTCAAAGACTCAGTTCTGCCGTTTTCAAGCCCAAATCTTAGCAACAACGAAGACGTCGGAAGCTGTCCTGCAGCTCAAGCACTATTCGGTTTTTGGCTCATATCTTGAGTTCTAGAAGTCCAAATGAGCTCTGGTTTTTTTTTATGGAAAGCTGAGACAATTTTCCACAGCTTCCACAATTCAGTTGGCTATAATTCTGATGTGAGCAATGACGTTTTGGCCAGCCAACAATACCAAAAATCAGCCCACAATATCAAAAAACCAGCAGCCATTAATGTCAAAAACCAGCCACCAAATCAATGGATGCCCACCAATTCTTCAATCAATCAATAGTTCTGAAACTTAGCCTATAAAAGGAGGCATTGTCCATGTATTTAGTCATATTAATTTTCAGATCAAAGTTATCTTCTTGCTTTCTCTCTACATCTTTGTAATGTTCAAGTTTTCTTTTATGCTATAGTAATCTCTTGTTTATGCTCTTTCATTTCCTTTCCTATAGTTAGTTAGCTTATATTATGTTTATGTTCTTATATTGTTTATTTGTGTTTTTCTCCTTCTTAATGTTTAGCTAAGTTAATTATGTCAAGGTGAAAAGGTTTCTCTAATGGTGTTAGAATAGGTATAATATAAACTCAACATGAGCTTTAAATGTTTATATCCAAGAAAGATTGTTATTAACATGTTTTATCTTTTTATCTTACTAATTCTTAATACCTTGCTTATTAAATGTTTAATTTAGATTTGTGTTGTATAATATTTGGTACATCAAATGCTTGATCTTTCATAGTTTTCGGCCGAAATCGTTATTATGATAGAAACTTGATTTGTTGTTAACATAAACTAGCAACATGAATGCTTGATGATATTTATAAGTATGGTATTACTTATATAAGATAATTAATATGATCATGTTAGTAATTTATAATGAGCTAATAGCGAGAAATCATCCGATTAGAACCTCCTTTGTGTGTGGTTTCTAGTTGAGTAATAAAAAGAGTTTATATTATATTTATTTGAAATACCATTAGTGAATCCTATAACCTTGACATATGTTTTGTTATTGTTTAATCCTTACATCAATATCACATCCCAAAACTTTCTTCAACTCCTTTTCTGTTATTATTCTCTTTAAATCTTTTTCTTTATTTGTAATTTATATAATTCACCTCCCTATGGTTCGACCCCGGTCTTGCCGGGTTATTTTACTTTGACACTCCTGCACTTGGGATAAGACATCAACTCTTTGATTGTGTCACATACATCTTCAAACTTCAAAATAAGAGAAGAAATTTCAGTCAACACTATTTAACATTGTGTTTCCCTTGTATATTTAGTTATTCTTAGACCCTAAACAGTCAATGTGTGCGACCACATTGTGTTAGAGAAGAAACTTTCTTTTCTATATTCTGATTGGCTAGGATGCCTGATTATTCTTTGCTTGGATGTCCGGGTACTCTGATATTACACGTGAACAACTGTTATTCTGCATAGCTTATAATCGATTAATAATTGTTGCACCATTTGTTTTTCTTCTCTTTTAGACGCAAGGAATGAGGCCAGGTGTGGTGCCTTACAAAAGCGTACTTTCTGCTTTGAGGCGGATTAAACAAGAGGAAGGCATGCTAGGCTTGTACAGGTCTGGTGTAAACTCTTAATTTTGACCCAGCTTTCTTGATTAAGCTTTTTATTGCTGAAGGAATCGATGTGAAAGTACATTTCTGTAATATTTAAGCCCCTTTATGTTTGTAATGTTTTGCAAGCATTTGTGCTATTGTTTTAAGATGATTAGAAAATCTTCTTCTCATGATTTGGTTTCATAATGCTGCATTCTTTGTTTGAAACAGTGGGATTTTGCCTTCTTTGGCTGGGATAAGTCATGTTGCAATTCAATTTCCAGTTGAAAAATAAACTCAGACAAAGGTTTAAACTGAAACAAAATCAAAGTTGAAAATTGACACAAAACATAAAAACATTTGTAGAAAAATAGATCAAACACTCAAATCATGAAGAACACGAAGAACATTCATTAACAAACCTAGAAACACAAATCTCAATCCAGTCAAGTTTTCATGCAATCAAGGGTGTCATACCCTCGCGAGAGCTCCGCATCGCGGCGACCTTTCTTGGAGCGAGGAATTGATATCGGGGTCTTTGTTTTATAAAAAAGGGAGTCGTCAGTTAGTATTATGGTCATTAGAAAACCTAACTAATCTTTCAGAGATTCTAAGGCAAAGGACTGATTGCTTAAAGGGAAGGTTTTAGCACCCCTAATACGCCCTACCTAAGGTAAGTTGCTTGGTGTTTGGTTTGCCTATAATTGCTATGGTGTTGATATTCTCTACTCCCATCAGTTTCCTAGTGTTGTAACCCATTTTTGGCCTTGCACGAAAATAAAATAAATAATTAAAAAAAGCTAAATAGTGTCATTTTGACACTATTCCTCTTCCCGTATGCTGCCAGAGCCCCACACCCCCATAAAACAAGAAACAATGACTGTATGCTGCTCCCAAAACTTAAAGCCCCACGCCCCCTGCTCCCCATGCACAGTGAGGCCTTCCCCGCTCCCCCCTTCGCCTATAAATACTGCCCTTAGCAGTTGCAACAGGGAGGTTTTAGGAGAGGAGGAAAAGCTTTTGGAAAATTGAATGAGGGAGAGAAGTATGAACGAGAGAAGTTTGAAAGAGAGAACATAGAGAAGGGAAGGAAAAGATTTCTGAAACAGAGTGAGGGAAATACAAACGTAGCAGCACTGCCCACGCCATCATCATCCTTCCAGCTCATCCTCTCCCCATCCCAGCACTGCACGACAAAAAGGAAAAAAATACAATGAGATAGTGAGGGGACAATCGAGAGGAGAGACCATCATACACAAAGGAGGACGAACAGCTGCTAGAAGGAAACACCCGAGATCAAGAGGAGAAGAACTGAACAGAAGCAAAGGAGGAAGGAAAATAGAGGCAGACGCATCTGCAGAAAGGAGAAGAAATACTGCAGAAAATAGTTGCTGACATTTGAGCTTCCAGCCACTGCCACCATTAGAACCACTTGGAGACCTCGTCGGCTACTTCTCCACCACCTCCAGCATCACTGGGAGTGTCTGCCATCGTCGTCTACATCATTTCTGCCACCAGGTTTGTCCACCCCCTCTCGTCGTTGTGCTTGCACCATTTCCTCGCATTTTACTCTTCAAGTGAAACATAATTCACTTGAACAGTGAAATGCTATTTCACTATTCACATGAATTATAATTCATGTGAACAGTGAATGCTAATGTTACTATTTACATGAATTATATTTCATGTGAATAGAGAATTTTGCCAAAAAAAATAAAATAATAAAATAAACATTCTTCAAAAATTATTTCAAAGAATCTATGATTTTCTGCAAGTTTTGTTATTGCATTCTGATCAATATCGGTTTGTATTTTTATACTGTAAAGATACAAATCCGGTATTAAAATATTTGATTTTCATCAAGTCATCAAAAAACAAATAAAAATATATAAAAATAAAAATGTTTTGTTTTCATGCATACAGCCTAGTCTCTCCAATATATAGATATATATAAATCATCACATCATATTTTCGTACAACAAAGAAAATTTCAAAAAATATATGTATTAGCATGCATTTAGGCTTTAATAACCAGTTTATTCAAGCCATGAGAACTAGGCCAATATTTCAAAAATTACAAAAAAAATTATTTTGTTTTCTTTTAATATTTGGGGTTACGATCTTATACGTAAGACATATTCTGGATATTAAATTCTTTTGTTAACGTCAGAATTACCTAATAAGATAAGGATCTCCTTACTGAGGAGGGCTTTTCTTAAACCATACCAACAATTAGAAAACACGACAAAACCTTAGATTTTATCAGACAATAAAAGAATGCAGCTTACTTTAGGTAGGGTGTATTTGGGGTGCGAATACCTTCCCTTTACGTAATCAGTCCCCGCACCCGATCTCTAAGACTAGTTAGGGTTCCTAGTGACCAAAAACCTAGGTGGCGACTCCCATTTTATTTTCCACCAGCAAAAGACTAGATTTTCTTGTCCCCCTATATTTGCCAGATAGATATTATACATCATTCTCTTGATAAAAGTGGAAAACCCGCCGCGACGCCGCACTTGTGCGATAGAATGGCGACTCCACTGGGGACCTTGTGGACTAAGCTTTGTTTTTGTCTAATTTGTTTTTTATTTTCTTGTGTTTATTGTTAATATGTCTTTCCTTTTTGTTATCTGCTTATATGCTTTAAAAGTTTTTTACATATTGCTCATGCATTGTATAAAACTGTTTCATGCACTATATAGAAATATCTCATGCATCACATACTTTGATTTTGAGAAGCACACACAAGCTTTAAGCTAGGTGGGGGATTAGCGATTTGCCCTATGACTATTGGTCAGGGTTCAGATGCGTGAAACACCCAACTCATATCTGAGTGCCTCCTTGGTAATGGTGGGCTTACGTGCCTTAACTGTTCCTTGCAACGCCCATATACTGTCTTTACGAAGAACGTCACTAGGCAGATATGAGACCCCTTCAAGACCAGATAGAAAACCTACCAAGTCTCACTTAATAAATAGAGCTTGTCCTTAGGATACGTATCTTACTTTCATTTGCATCATGATTAATAATTCATCAATCCTAGTTCTGAGTTAAGATCATGGCTAAGTACCTATCTTTCCAAGAGTTTGGGCAAGAATATGAGTTGACTCAGGTAGCTGAAGGAAAATGTCCAAGAATCGATGCTAGTGGGTTGCCTCACATTACCCATATAAATCACATGGTAAATGACTTAGGAAAGTTATTGTTTGTTATGGAATATGTTGATGAGACTCTTTTTGAAAGGCAATATAGGAGAATTGCACAACTAATGAGGTTACCCGTACAAGTAGCAACAATCAAAGCCTTACTTAATGTTTAAGATCCTAGTTATCGGTGTTTTACCTTCAGGAACATTGATGACACCGACCTCAGAGGAATACAATAAGATTCTAGATTTTCCAAACAACAGCCACAAGATCTACCTTAGGTGAAAAATTAAAGACACAACTTTGGAGGTAGTCAGTTTATTAGGCCTAGGAAAGATTAGCCAATGTAGAGTCACCGAATGGGATTTTAAATGGAAGGTCATTAAAGCCTGAATGAAGAAAAATGCTGAAGAAGGCAAGTTAGGAGATGAATGATATAGGTTGGTGGCCATCGCCATCTTTGGACTAATATTATTCCCATCTAAAATCAGAGTCATCAGTTTAGAAGCTATAAATGTCTTCATAAAATACGAGCATAATCAAATCAATCCCTTTTCATCCATTTTGGGAGAAACCATGTTATCACTCAACCCCTGCAGAACACATGGAAAAGGATCCATGAGAGGTTGCATTCCTATGTTGTATTTATAGATTATCAATCATATCAAAACACCAAGGGACATCTTTAACAACTTCTAGTGGTTTGATTTGTGACCATTAAAAGTTACCATAGATGAGACTTAGAAGAACTAGGATGAGAAAGCATGGATAGATAAATATACAGCATTGCCAAGGAGTAACTTCAAATGGAAAGGACCATGGATGAACAATGTCATCTGCACAATGAGTTATGGAAGCAAGATCTGGGTTCCCTTGATCGGTGTAACTGGATACATTAGTTATACACCCGCACTTGTAACAAGGCAGTTGGATGGAATGTATTACACACCAAGAACTCTAGGTTTAGCCGACTTCATAAGTTTGTTCAAACACCAACCTTTTGCTTGAAGAGATGGAACTTATCCGACAAGACTAGGAAAAACTTCTGATGGTGAAAAGGAAAGAACAAAGCAGTTTTGAAACATCATTCAGTCAGAATTATATGGTTTCGAGGAATAATGAGCTTTCTGAAGTGAGAGGTTTCGCAACATCAAAACATCCAGAATCAACAATAGAGCAACCAAAAAGGAAAAGGACTTATAATGAAGAAGATTTAAGAAACATAGTCTCACATCCAAAGTCCACCACACCCGGTCCAGATCAAGGATGGATAGCGAAGAAAAAGCTCATTTAGAGTCACATTATCAAACCGAGTTGGAATTCATAAAAAATGAAGTTGTCCGGCTGACTGATCTACTTACGCAACTTCTAAGAGCTAAGAATGGGGAGGGAACATCAGCACAACAGCCTGAAGGAGCGCCAGTAGCTCACATCCCTCAAGCATCTCAAAACCAGGGGGCAAACTCGGCCAATGAACAACATTTTATGCCTCTGACCCCTATCCAGCCAACTCATGCTCCAATTACTGTGGACTTAACAGTAGAGGGAGTCCCTGGCAATAGGTCTCCTAGTTTGATGGACCAAGACAAGCTGTTTGCTTTGGAAGAAAGATTAAGGGAAGTTAAGGGTAATGACTGGTTTGACCCTATGCGAGCCGCGGAAGTATGTTTGGTTCCAAACATCGTGGTGCCAAAAGATTTTAGGATACCAGAGTTTATTAAGTACACTGGTTTGGAATGCCCAAACACTCACCTTCGATCCTACTACAACAAAATGGTGAAAGTAATCCGTTATGATAAATTGCTAATCTATTTCTTTCAAGATAACCTAGCAGGATCTGTTTTGAGCTGGTATATGAGGTTAGACAACATCAGGGTTAGGAGCTAGAGAGATTTGGTGGAGGCTTTTCTAAGCAGTACAAGTTTAACCTAGAAATCGCTCTGAATCGGACAAGTCTAATGTCAATGGAGAAGAGGAGCCAAGAGTCGGTAAGGGCCTATGCACAAAGATGGAGGGATGAGGCAACACATGTCCAACCCCCTTTAATAGAAACTGAGATGGTGACCTAGTTTGCTAATACCTTCAAGGCACCTTATTATAAGCATTTAATGGGTAGTTCATCCCAGCATTTCTACGATGTA